AAAATAGAAGTAAGAATCACTTACCTTGTGCTTTTTGTTTTGTTCAGCTAAAAGGGCCTGGATACTCTACTTCAATAATTATTATTCATTTATCAGTATGTTAGTTATTTATTTTGATATTAGGCAGGTACTACAAGGAAACGATTTGGTTGTTCCTTTTTAATTCAGATGATAAACAACTTTGTAGGTGATAATTATTTGTAATGCACTGAACTGGGGACCTTTCTGTGCTACCAAAAAAAAATCTTTAACTTTTAACATCTTTTCATAATAACTGTTGAAAACTCTCATCTAAAACAGAAGGGTCAAGGCTTATTTGCTGAATCAAGGGACTGTATCGTGGAACAGTGATTTTTAGAATTACTGCCAAAGTAGCAGCTTTATTTCCTGAAAGACTGATTATAATGGAAGCTTTATTTAATGCATGGCTAATTTCAAATTTTCAGGTGACTTTCCAACCCAGGTATAGAGGGTAGATATAAAAAGCGCATTGTGGAAGTGGAGAAAGAGTAAGAGGAACGTAAAAGAGAGGAAAGAATTATGGGGAAAAGAAGAAATGAAAAAATAGTTGTAGAATTGTAAACATTTTCAAGAACGACTTTACTTTTATAAAAAGTAATAAACAATTTATTTTACACATTTTATCAAACTCTTAGAGTGGTTTGTTTGTGGTTTTGAGAATTTCATTAACCAAATGGTCAAGCTACCCACACATACAACTGAGCAGCCAACTGCTTGGCCTCAATGAAAATGTTTTTTTTTCCTGTTTTCTTTTTGTCTTTTTTTTTTTTCTTTTCATTATTTGCTTTTTCTCTTGAAGCCTTCTCCAATTTTCTTCATTTCTTTCTCCTGCTGGTTTCTCTGTTTGGCTCACAAGCATTTGTCTGCAACACCCTGCGGACCTCCAACTCCTCCTCCTGTTACAGCTGCAACATGGATATGCCTGCATGATCATTTTTGTTCCTTTTTAAATTTATGATAAGCTCACCATACTAAGTGAAAAACAGAAAGTAGCCCATAACCAGCTTAATGCTGACAGTCTTGTCTCATCAGGAGCTCAGAAGGCAATCAAGGAAATAGGTCACAGGGAGGGGAAGGAAAACACCTCCCCCCCCCTCCTTGAGTGGAGGAAGGAGGAAGAAAAAGAAAAATAATTCATCCTAGGATAAACAGGATCTATTTCCACACTTTTTCAACACCATGATGGTACCACTTGGCTGAGGACTGTTGTCAGACAGTTCAGTGTGGGATAGGGTATGGAAGGCAGAGAGTTTTGGTGACAACGAGCCTCCTGGGATTTGAATAAAACAAAACAAAAAACAAGTGCAAAAAAGTAACTATAAATAACCGTGCAAAACTCCTAATATTTAGGATAAATAATTTGGATTGATTCTAGAGTTTCTAGTAAATGTAAAAAGATAGCAGGTGAACATGGACGGGCTGGTAGTTGCCAGCAGTGGATCTAGGGGAGGTCCCCAGCCCTCCATATTTCTAGATCAGACCGAGGACAACAGTACCAAGAAAATTCTTTTCTGGATTGAGCTCCTCCATACCTTAAGGTCTGGATGAGTGGTTCCTCCCCGTCACCTTAAGGTCTAGTGAGAATCCTCCCCCCGCCGCCCCACCCCTCTTATCTGAAGGTTCCGATCTGCCACTGTAGGCTCTAGGACCTATATCAGAACATATACAGAGACACTACACTAATACAATCTGCAAGACCGTTTTTTTTTAAGACACTTGAGCATATGCCTGCCTGCGCTTGTAATAGTGATCACCAAGCTACAAGAAGTATGACCTGAAGTAAATCATGTGTCTTTTACTTTTGTTAACGCTTGGAATGAACTAACCCATAAAATTACAAGATGGTTAACTGACCTTAACTGTATTTGTACCCTCTTTGTAAACGTAACAATCATGTTTATATTGGTAAGTTCAGTAATAATAATCCAGATGGCCAAAACTTTCATATTTTGGCCATTCTTATTCTGAAGTATCCACCTTATTCTGAGCTATGCAAACAGATACTTTGCTATGAATAAGCTTTACACGGCAGTCGTGGCACTGTAATTAAACAGACATTGTTTGCTCCTTGCACTAAATTCTTACAAAAAGAACGTGAAAAACAACTAACCTCCATGTAGGCTTTGATCCATATTTTGGAGTAACCATTCTCATCTTGGCCTTTTTCAGTCTTTGTATACTTATCTCTTTGAACACAACAAGGTCGTAAAGAGTCGGAGCGATTTGCCGAAAAATAATTTTATTCAGTTCCAGTCTCCGAGCGGATACCTGATTTTGGAGTATCCACTCTAGTCACGACCATTTTGAAACGTTACAATAGTATCCATCATGCCACCGCGTTTCGCAACCTTTGGATCTTTGCTTCCACGATCTTTTTTTTTTCTAAATCTTTCGTACATAAAAGGCTGATCTTGGAAGTATTCACTATTCCTGGAGCTTTTATGATGCCTGATGTCTAAACGGCATATTCTATCGTATTGCTGCTAGCACAAATCTGGTGCCTAAGACCCTAAGGCGACGTACTATAATCTCCGATTACCACTAGTTTATATATTTTCCCCTTCATAAATATATTAAAAAAAGGCAAATCAAACAATGAGACGCACTGCATGTGGTGTTAGGACTGGCCGTGCAATGTGCGTTTACGGCGCGTTATAGAGGTTTAGAAAACAGAACTAGCAGTAACCAATGGATAGGAATTATGAGTGAGAAGAGATTGATGTTGAGAATCGCTTTAAAAATAACTGAATAGCAGATGTGAACAATTGCTTAGATTACAATGAAACAGTATAATACCCCTGCTAATATAGTTTACAATGTGCCGCTGACCACCCCTCCATGAATACGTCTGCGAGCTTGCTTTTGTTCGCCCGCAATCAAGTCACGTTTTAGTCTTTTGTGATCGCAACACCAAGAAGCAACCGCACCGTCGGCACGAGTCGAGTAAGGAAGCAGGACTTTGTTGATCATTCTCTTTTTATTCATAAAGATTGAACCGAATAAATTCACCTAAGAATCTTAAACGACTAAAACACCGCAATCTCAACCTGCGGTGATTACAAAATACATTCATCTACACCGGTACTGAACAAAAACGTACAGCACCGAACTCTTTACAAAATTACAGGAAAGCAAAATTGGAGTCTGTATAGAGAGAAGAAGTGGTTACATCAGTTGCCATGGTAGCAAAATTTTTGGATGACAACAAACCGAAAAAGTCACTTAAAAGTCTATTCGCACTATTTCAAACTTCACCGATCTTATTCAATATCATTTAATTTGGTAAATCTTGGCGAAATTTTCTTTGGGACCATATCTAACGTTATCTAAGTTTAGAAAATGAAAGGGACAATTTTTGTGTTGTGTTCACCTACTCCATAAAGCGGGCTCGTGAAATTAGTAAGTTTCATGTCGTAGTGGTGTAACGACGGCAAAGAAATGTGCAAAATAGCGTGTGCACGTGCAAAGTTGTTGTTTGTTAATATAGACATATTTTTTGCCGTTCTTCTCGCCGTCGCCGTCGCCGTCGCCGTCGTCGTTGTCGTTGTCGTTGTCATCCAGAAATAGTGCTACCATGGTAACGTGACGTCACACTTCTCCTCTCTATTAGGACGCAGCCGACACAAGGCTGCTTAATTATTCAATACATTTTGTTCTATAGAGAGCCACTGTATGTGATCTTTAAAGCGACTCTCATATTCGGTAAATTCTTCCAGAAGATGAGTGGAGAATTCGTATTTGTAAACAGGCGTAACATAAGAAAACAGCCTTCGAAGCACGGTAATGCTTCAAGTATGGAGCATGCCCACTCTGTTCAAAATGAACTCTTCCTCGCTTCTTTCAAAGTCCAGTGGTAAAATAGCCCTCTCCATGCCAACTTAACAATCCATTATTGGTGGAAAAAATAAGGAGATACAGTACGAAGACAGATAAGCCAAAAGCATCTCGCAAAGGAATACACGATAGAAACATCACGGCGTTACGACAAGGGACAGCCTTAGACACCCAACACAACGCCAGATAAAACGAATGAATATCATGTTGTACAATTCGTTGGCATTGTCCTGCCCATAGCGGTTTCCAAAGGATAGACTAAATTCTCTCTGGTTTATGCCAAGTTTCTCCTCTACTGGTCTTTTAGTCATCATAGTGAATTTCCGCGCAATTTTCACAAACAAGGGACAATGCAGTGAACATCTTGATTAAACAGCCCAGTGAGGGAAGGCTGAGGTATCCTTCCCTTTCTCTCGCTTTGCAGACTGATTTCACTTTAACTGGCTGCACTCTGTCGACGAACCTAAAAACATCTTTGACTCTTCTCACAACAGTAACAAGAAGCACTGCCAGAGACAAAAAATCCGTTAAAATAAGAACCTGACGAGTTGAAGAAAAAGAAACAAAAATAATGCGTCGAGGCAAAAGAGGGCAGTGATTGGTCCGCACAATAATGACTTCAAGGGACGATGTATCGCTTTCCAACAGTCAGGGTGACGTGTGATGGCAAATCTTTCTTAAGCAACGTAGACATAAACTTTCCTGAAAGAGAAACGAGAAGTTAGAAAAGGTGTTTAAGTAAAAGAAAGGATTATAGGGAGAAAGAGAAAGGTAGCGTGTAAACCCCATCTGGTTAGCTCAGTTGGGACAGCGCCGGTCTGCTGAGCTGGAGGTCTCGGGTTCAAAGCCCAGCCGGACCAACACTCAGTGTCTTTAAATAACTGAGAAGAAAGTGCTGACTTCGTAATGACATCTCCAAACGGTTAGACTTTCTAGCCTTCTTGGATAAGGACGAAAAACCGTAGTTCCCGTCTCACAGCACTTACACTTACCTGGTTCTTGTGAACCCAGACTACTGTTCGAAAAGAGTAGGGGACGTAGACCCCGGTGGTGTGACCAACCTTTCTTGGGCAGGGTGGGTTATCTGTAAGGAGAAATCTTAATAATTTTTATAGGGATAACCTCATGATTCTCCTTCAGGTGTCTTGACACGGAAGAGACGAGTTAATTTTCTCCCATCCCTCCCCACCGCTTTAAGCCCCGGGGGCCTGCCCCCTTGGCATATCTGCCTTCAAGGTGACCTCCCGTTACAACAAACGTTCGATCTCGACGATCTTACAGAAAAAGGGACCGACAACAATACAATATTTCATCTTCGTATTCTACACTGGATTGTCTTACCTGTCTTCTGGTGTCCTGGCTAAGTATTCTCTCTCGATCAAACCTTCGATTCTCTTTTTAATCACTTGAGGACTAGGCATGAATCGGGCTTTCAACTGCTCAGTTACCTGTTTACAAAAACAAAAGCAACAGGGCATTAGGTGGACAACGTCATGGAATTTTAGGCAATTTCAGCAAGTGAGACAGTGATGGATCCAGACCTTGAGATAGGGGGGGGGGGGGGGGGGGTCTGAAAAAAATTTTTTCGGCCCTTCGGGCCTCAGTTTCGTCTAAAAATAAGCCTGGATTCGCCTCTGAGATATCAAAGTGGATCCTGGGGCACTTATGGCTACGTTGGCGAGGTATCAGCCTTGTTGATTATGACAAAGAAAATGACTAAAAAGTGGCAGGGTTAGGGTTCGCCCCATGTTAAGGAATCCGGATTCCGGAGTGTGGGAAATTTTTGCTTGTGGAATCCGGAATACAGCTAAAGGAATCCGGAATCCTGTGCTTTGGAATCCGGAATACAGCCCAGGGAATCCGGAATCCCACTAACGATTGGAATCCAGAATCCAAGTTCCACTGTCCCAGACTGGAATCTAGTACCTGGAATCCGGAATCCACAACGTGGAATCCAGAATCCCAGGATGTCTTGGATTCCCTTACATGGGGTGATAGGGTCTTCGTGCTACAGAGACGTCCGTTAAGAAAGAGTCGCCCGGACCGAAGAATATTTTTTTTCTCATTTATACAACCAGACAGCTATATAATACAAACACCTTCCTAACAGGACACACGAGTTAAACCCTACATCTCTTCAGCCATTTTCTTTGAGTCTCTATAAGGAAGACGGATCATTACACGTTTTGGGGAAACTACCTACCTACTCCTCCCCTAAGACAACATTAACACTTCCTTCTCACTTAGGGCAAAATGGTGGCTTAGGGGAGGGGTAGGTGGTTAAGGAAGACACCTCTCCAAGACAGACACTTAATGTGATGTTACACGGGACTATTCGCAACGACGATTTTTAGCGAAACACAGCGTCGCAATATTGTTGCGACATTGTTTCGAATCGTCACAACATTGTTCCAACATTGCAACGCTGTGTTGCGTTAAAAATCGTAGTTGCGAATCGGCCCGTATAATATCACCAGTGGTGGTGCCAACTGTGTCCGCACTAAACGGGGATAAATGCGATATTTTTAGCTGGTAATAATAAAAAATAAGCAAAACTTGTGATTGATTCAGTGACCTGGCCCCTTCACAGTCTAAAAAAACTGATCCTTTGACAGTTTGTCGTCAGGATGGATACTAACCTCGGCAACAAGCAGATTGTGAGGTCTCTTCTTACGCGCCTTCATTATTCTTACAATGGCTGCTTCAATTCTACAACTTGTTAAGAAGCACTTTCATTCACACTGATAGTAATACGTTGTGTAGTTATATTTCTCCAAGCCACACTTCCTCTGGACCGATCTACATAGTAGCTTAGTAGATGTCCTTCTGAGGGAGATGTCCGGTTTTGGAGCGCCTAATTTTTCCTGATAATTCCACCCCTTGATCAAACAACGTCCCCAAGTGTTACTCATAAACGTGATGGCAGGTTTGTAAGCCTTAGTTACCAGTTGGGACCTTGGTCCCTGGAAGGTTTAACAGTGCTGGGCAGGTTTTGGGTGAAAGGCCAGATGAATTGCAACGCATGACCCCCCGGGGTTGGCGGTTGGGCGACGGGTTAATGTCCCATCCCCGTGAAAAAAATGTCATTATTGAAACCAGACACACTTTTCAAGATAGCAAGAAGGAAAGTGTGGAGGCCTTATGCGCAACGGAGCGCGAGGAGGCAAGGTAACGTAAAGGTCAGTAAATAGAAGCTACTATAGTCAAAGTCAAGTGGCCTTGATCGTGAAAAAAAAAATTGCAAAGAGAATCGCTGGTGACATCAGGGTTAATTACATGACGAAATACTCGGAAAAAATATCCTTGCCCAGAAGCAGCATAAGGATAGGACGTGGACGGTAAGGATACTCATGTTTTCTATCCTCGTCGACTTTTGTCCTCGTTTCCTTTCGCTCAGGTTCCATTTCACCTTTAGCGAGGACTGTAGAGAGAATAGAGGAATAAAACATCTTAGTAATTTGAGTGACGCAAAAAGTACCCACTCTTCCGCCCTGAAATGTTTCCATCATAAGTCGTTTTCCCTACAGACAATAAGCTTGATTACGAGCCGCTGTTCGGAAAATGAGCCCGCGCTCCTCCCCGAACACTTTTCGGGGCGGACCGAGAGAACAACGGAAATCGAGCCGATACAGACAACTGCATAAAACTGTATGCCCCACTCCTAGTGGGGTCAGCCAGTCGACGTAAAACTACTTAAGGAGGTTTTGGGTGGCTATAACCTTCTGTACCGCTTGGAACGTGTTAGGGAGCTTAAAGGGGCAATGCAACGAACATGTTGATGTTTCAGGTCAATTCTGTGCTGAAGTCATTTCTTAGTACCTTTACGCGAACATAATAATGCTCTTGTAGAAGGTAATACACAAATGTTACCAGGGAGCACTAACCATAATGATTTTGGGGGTGACTTCGAGAGAATAGTGAACTTACGCGATAGGACGGGAGAGGAAAGAAGACGACAAAACTTGAGTGACAAACGTGACAATAATTTTGTTTGAAATAAATTTTTGTCAAACTTCACTTCCCTTTAAGCAGATCTTTTTGTAAAGGACGAGAAAACATTTTAAGTGAATATCACGACATAACACGCAAGTAATAGCCCCGTCACGTCTCACGTTTGTCACACACAAGCGTATTGCCGTCCTTTTCATCCCGGCGTAAGCTCACTATAATTATCCACTCCACGAAAAGTCAAAAATGGAAACCCCGTTTCCAGGTGGGGAGTCCTAAAATCGCCATTACGTTAGGAGGCACAGAACCCTACAAGTATTTACGCTTCAAGATTCCATGAAAGCATACAACCACAAGTTTTGTACCTGTTTGTATTTTGACTCTGTGTAATTTGGATGTAAACTGCTCGTTCACTGAAAATGTATCTGTTGGAGCTAGAGATAATAAAATGATACTTGTAAATACCAGGATCAACCGTAAAAGATTCTACTCGTTTTTGAAAGTAAACAGAGTTATAGCTTTCCACGATTGTTTTGTCAACATGACAGCATGACTAATGTAATATCATTGGGCACAAAATACTCCTTACTTCTAGAGCGAAGTTTCAGCGTTAATTCATGTTTTACATGGCAACATTCCGTGTATCTCAATCCGGGTTTAAACATATGGCGAATGATGATTTGGAAAACCCAAACATGAAACAAACATCAGCGAGCAAAATTCTGAAACCATCAGCATTGCTAACAGTCGGTATTCTGAGCACACAAGTAGCAAGCAACTCATGATTACATCACGGTAAAGTGCGTTAAAGCTCGTACGATCCGTATGATCCGTATGCTTGATTGATACGGATAGTATTGATTCCTCGTTATACAAGTTATAAGATGTAAGCTATAAAGCGAAACAAGCATCACAACTTGGTTACTTACACATACTAACAACAAAATTTTACGAGTTAAAACGGTAAATGTTTTGACGACTATACTTACATATATCTTTTCCTTTTGGATCTTTAGTAAGTACTCTCTGTGTCGCCTTTCCACAAGCTAGTGACTGTAACGCTCGATTTAAATCCCTTTCAGGAATTTCTGTATGCTGACTAATTTCCTGCAATGTGTAAACCAAAACATAAGAAGGCAAGAATAACACAGACTACTTAAGCAATAACACGTCTAGTTCATAACATACATGCAGGAACGAATGGGAACAGCAAGAAACGTACAAAGTTTTTCAGTCACTAGAGTAAATCTTACGGTGTTACCATTCAAATGAAACCTCTTCAGCATTACTTTCACATGGTACTATTTATTTAGTATGTAGTTCTAATTTTTGAGTCTGTGGATGAAATCCTATGGTGTTACCATTTAAATGACACCACTTCAGCAGGACTTTCACATGGTACTGTTTATTTAGTGTGCAATTGTAACTTTTGCATGAGGGTGAACATTCAAATGAAACATCTCTCATGGTACCATTTTACTCACACGTGCGGAATTTTACAAACGAAATTTACCACATTTTTTCAGGAACCGACCTTGACCACTACTTGCAGAGCCAGAGTCAAGTCTAAGACCAGTTACTTTCAATGCAGACATCATGAATTACAGACAGGCATCATGAATTTAGGTTAGGAAATACTATGGCAATTCTGTCCATAAATACCTCATACGTCCATCTCTCTTGACGGTTAAACAGCATCAGTACACACATCTGATATGAAGATACTTGAAAGATATGCCGGCGGATCTCTGTTGGACCACCCTCCTAAAAAAAACCACCTCTGTTAGAATTGTGGACTCCGATGAAAAGGTGGAGAACAGTTGTCCGGAAATTTCCTACCAGTCGTAGCGGGCCGCAAAGAATCAACAACAATCCACCGGATAGCATATCGTGCACAAACGGATAGAAATGCGCATTTGTGTGAATGGAATAGCCGCATAGCCATTTCCAGGCGTTCAGATAATGGTGACGGCGCAATGAAAAGTGAGCAGGAAAAACAGAGAGGATTTTGCAACTCAGTAATAGGTTAATAAACCAAAAGTACTTACTTTCTTGGACGGAGGAAATGTGGCATTCAGCTCCGCAGTTCCCTTGAAACAATGATACAAGTAGGTTAAGCTTTAAGGCAACAGTGCGATAGAGAGAGTCACTGTCACGATTAAAAGTGTAATTCGTACTTTAGCAAAAGGAAAAATGCTAAATGAAATATTTTACAACTCTTTCGATTCAAGTTAAGGAATACAGGAACCCTAGCGATTCCAGAAGAAAAGTAAAAGTAGTTATAACTTTTTAGAGAAAGTAAAAGGAATCCCATTATATGGTGGTAACGATTCCAATGAAATTTCTTCTGCAGTAAACTCATCCAACTATTTGTTTTGCAGTACTTGACAAAAACAAGACAAGGTTTGCGATCGCTGTCAAGTTTGCTTTGGGAATTTCTTTGGAATGTAAGGTGTAAACATAGTTAATTGAGTGGAATGGTTATGAAACCCGTCAGACTCCTTTGTTATATGTTTTTGTGGACCTGAAAGTGCACAACGTTCAAAAGAATTCCTATCATTTTGATTGTATTGACCAATAAAAACGTTGCATTGATTTATTCCGTAACAATTTGCCAACAGAAAACAAAGGATTGTGCACTTTCACGGTACTTCCAACATAAACTGCAGCAGTGTTGTTTTTATTATTGATGTTTGCCGCTTTTCATAACCAGTCTCTTCTAATAACTATGGTGTAAACAGTTCTATAAAGCGTTTGGTTCTTACTAGCTGAGGTTGAAGAGTCAGTTGTCGTCCACTGTGACAACCTAGATAAAACCTACAGGAGAAACAAAAATTCAGCAAAAAAGAAGCCAACAAAGTATACAAGATCATTCCAGGAAAAAACTTCAGGCCCAAGTTGTTCAGTGGTTAGATAGCGCTAATCAACGGATAAATCACTTTCCAGCAAATAAGTATCAGGGGGACCCATATTTTATTGGGCTATCCACCAGGCCCCGGTTGTTCAAACGTCGGATAGCGCTATCCACCGTTTGAACCACTGGGGCCTGATTGACACGCCATAAAGCGTTTGTTGAGGAGCAGAAAAAAAAACTGATCAGCGGGGGCTGAAGGTCAGGTTCGTGTAAACACGTAAAATAAATAAATAAAATGGGTCTCCTGTAAGTGCCATTGTCTTACAATTGTGCTCCGTAAACCGATGGAAACCGTGCACAAAGCGCTTCAATGCCTGGAAACAACAAAAATCCGACGACACGTACGAATATCCTGAGGAAACAGTCCACATTAAACGACGCCCAACTGGTTTCCCCATCTGAGGATTCCATACTGATGACGTATTTCTTCTCAGAAATGGGTAGTGCTTATGATTGGTCGTGCCGCAAGGGAAACTTGCTTCAAACAATCAGAAACACTACCCAGATCTAGATTTCTGCGCCCGTTACTCAGAAGTTAATTTGCGAGGAAACCAGGGCTAGCGTCGCGAAATGTAGGTTTTCTCAGGTTGACGTACATTTGTATGAACTGAGTACCTTTTAAAGCAGTCGAAGGCATGATGGGCTTGGGGCGGAATTGAGCACTTCGGCGAGGAGGACTGAGTTGGCCAGAAACCTGTTGTCAAAACTCTCACTACGAGATCCACGCCCATAAGATTGATCTGAAAAGTCAAGAAAATTCAACATTAATCCCATGAAGCATAAAGCCCTTTTGCAACAAACAAAAGCAACAACAGCACGAGACTGAAAATCCAAGTTCCAAAGAGATGTACCTGATTATTGGAGATATGTTGTCTAAACTCGTCATTCGTTGATTGTGATAGCGACATATCTTTGAACATTCCTTCTAGTTTTGAGGTGAATTGACAACCGCATTCAGTCTGTTAACGGAAAAAGAGTTTTAATTAAACAGCTTGCAAAATCATGCCCACCGAAATCCAGGAAAAACTATATGAACAAATTTAAGTAAAGGTCACCGTCTATAAGCACTTTTTAACAAGTGCAAAGCACGAGGAGTGACCTTGTATGAGCAAAATAACGCTAAACGAAACCCCAGATGTAGCCTGTTTCTTGAATCAACACCCACCTCCTCGAACCAAAGTTAAATAGGCGTTCTTCTGATACAGTAGGGATATCACCACAAGGAACCTTTCCTTTTTCAGCTTGTATTATTAATTAACTTTCGGCTGACAATATCTTTTGATCAACAACCAACCTTTAGTTTGGAGATCATATTTTTCTCTGAGTCATCTGAGATGCTTTTTCCCAGTAGCAGTCTCTTTGCCAGATGTTGCTTGTAGTACCGCTCAAATACATCCTGACAAAAAAGAGATTTTGTTTTGACTGAGTTATAGAGCTTACAATGTACAAGTTTGTTACTACTGGTCTTCGGGTGCCCAGCGTGGTCCCCCTGTGATTTTGAAGCGTGCGTTGGAATTGCGTGCACGAGGCCACTGTGTACACCAAAAAACCAAAGAGGAACTAGATGTATAGTAATCCAGAGTACCAGACACTTAATTAACATACCTTTTCTTGAAGAAATCTGAAAAGCACCATACACTTATCCAACACAGTTTCTACTTCTTGTTCGGACAGCTGAAACAAATATTAATTTCCAGTTAGAAGACTTCGAACATTGTTCACTTACATGTAGGGTGCTCACCATTTGTCAGAACTGGCTGGCAAAACCAGTCCAGTTGTAAGGAGAATTCCACTTACAATCAGGACTGGGTTTTAGTAAAATTTCTAGCAAACACTAATAATTTCATTTTCAAAATAATCAATCTGGCCAGCCAGTTCTCACTTTTGGAGTCCGCCCTCAGACAGTGGATAAAAGATCTAAAACACGAAGAATACTAATAGTTATTAGTAATAACTAAAGGTTACAAAGTGTGGGCAACAACGACCGAAGGTCAAAATGCTTTTGCTCCAGCGCTGAGCTTCGCGTAAGTTTCAAGTGACAGACGGTCAAAACAGGAGCGATCAGATTACGAGTGATAGAAGGTCCAAACACAGGTGATCAAATTGTCTTTTGTGCATTCCATTCACTCTTAGTGGAAGTCCAAACGAATGCTGCCTACATACATGTGACGTATGCGTAGTAAGAACCTAGTGAGTAGGATTAAGGGCTCCTCTTGTCGCCCGCAGTTAACAATGATGCACATGCCATAAAAAGTCTCTCAAAACCTACCCCTTTTACACCTTTCTTGAGCTTGTCATCAATAAACAGTGACAAAAATTCAGGTGATTTACCATTGAGGTTGAGAAAATGTTCAAATTCCTATAAGGAAAAAGATCAAGACACAAAAATTAATAAATAATAAATCCAAGGTTCATAGAAAAAATTGCAACCATTTTTTAAGAACTTTTCCAGGACTTTTCAAAGAAATTAGATTTTCAAGGACTACCTACAAGGAATGAAATTTCACAGATTGTACAAAAGTGCACATTCCCAATCCATTCTAACAGGACTTTAAGGATTGCTTCACCAACTTCTCTTCATTTTTCAGTTCACTTGTCTTAAATTGATCGTTAATTCTTTCATAAACAAAAAGTGCTTAATGTAATTCCCCGTAACTTCTCTAAGCTATGATTTATAATTATTGTCTTGGACAACCAAAAAGCATTAAGAAACATTTTCCAGGCCACTGCATGTACATTCAGAGTTGAAGAAAACCCAAGGACTTTTCAAGGACTAGCAATGAAATTTAAGAACTTTTCAAGGAAAAATGGAATTCAAGTAATATTTCTCAAACTCATTAATAATTCATAAAGAAAATACAAAGAAAATTAATGTTTAATGAGTGTTTGGAAATTGGATGAAAAACTGCTCAGTATTTGCATCCTTAATTTCTCCTTCAAAAATGATTTTGTTTGAGAAGAAATATCAAACATTCGACACAGTGTTTCATCACCAGATGAAACACCTCGAAGTTCGTCAAAAATACTCCGCTGCGCGTCGTATTTTCAACTCTCTTCTCGGTGTTTCATCTGGTGATGAAACACTGCGTCTCATGTTTGATATATTACATCAAGCATGAGATGCAGTGTTTCATTGCCAGATGAAACACTGAGAAGAGAGTTGAAAATATGATGAACAGCGGAGTAGTTTTGACGAACTTTGAGGTGTTTCATCTGGTGATGAAACACTGCGTTGAAAGCTTGATATTACTTCTCAAACAAAATGATTTTAGAAGGAGAAATTAAGGATGCAAAAATAGGGGTTTTTCATCTGATTTCCAAACACTCATTAACCTTTATTTTCCTTTGTATTTTCTTTAAGAATTATTAATGAGTTTGAGACAGCCTTTTCAAGGACTTCCCATAAAATTCAAGGACTTCTCACGACTGTGCAAACACTGAAATCACAACTACAACACAGTCTGAATAACAGTAATTTTCAAGTTGCTCTTATTTGCAGGGGTGAGTAGTAAAAGTAAGGAGGAACAAGGAGGTTTGATAGATAACTGACTGGCCTATTATAAGCAGTTTTAGTAATTAAGATATATGTGAAGTAATAACTTCTCGACCTACCCAAGAAATTGCTTGCTTGAATAATCTGTCATTACTGAAGGAATTATTCAAAAAGTGATCAAATCGATCCTTAAGGTCAAGAAGACTCTGCAGTAAAAAGACATGACTTGAGTGAGAAATCAACAACAGACAAAATCAATAATACCAGTATTTTCATTTATGTACTTATTTCCTTTGCCTCAGAAAACAAAATCCTTTGGTGTCACCACTCAAACGAAACTTTTTTTAGCAAGACACGTCCTAACCTGAATGTAAGTGATAGGATTTTTACAACTCTCCCCTTCTTCCTCTACAACAAGAGCTTTTCCTTGTTCACGTAGGTACCCCCTCATACAATCACACACAGTCTTTAGCCCATCTTTAACTCTTGTGAAAAGACGGTGCATTCTGGCCAAATCTACACAATAAGAGCAAGAGGTATGTTAATACAAAGATTCACAGATACAACAAAAAGGTCTCAATTTATACATGTATTTGACCAACAATGTTGCCCAGGGATCATGCAATAAGGTTTAAAGAGAGAGACAGGGGATTGGCATCCTCCCCTGCCCTCCCCTCCCTCCTTCTCCAAATTCCTCACCTGCCTCTAAATAATGTTACTTTTATTCGACAGAAAAAAGTAAAATGTAATTTTCTTAAAGGAGCAAAGGCTTCATTATTCCTGCTGTTACCAGAGTCAATAATCTTCAATGTGAATAAAAAGCCTTTAGACAAACCTTCTATTTTATTGTGTTTGAGCATGTGAATAACACCAGAATTCTCCATTTCAACCACTGTTTTCATGTGCTTGCGGATTAATTCCTCTTCAACAACCTGCGTAAAACAAACTTACTTACAACACTGTACTACATTTCTGACAAAATTACTAAAATTATCTCATGACAGGTAAATTCTCTTGAAGTTGTTAGTGGTTTGACAGACTATTTTGTTGTTTTTTTTTCTATTTTGTGAAATATTGACAAAAATAGTCAGATTATGGTTTGACATAAAATCATGGCCTTTGTATCCATTAAGTGGCTACAAGCAACTTACAGAAAGTTTGTTGCTAATGTAATAATTACATTAGCAACAGATGGTCTGTAAGTTGCTTGTACCCACTTCTACAGTTGTGTGTAACAATAATTATTATTGTTACACATAACTGTAGCCTCAATCTACAACAGTCTCAGTCAAAATTGTTGGGACACTTTACTGTCTTCTTACCCTTCCAATGTTGGTGCAGAAGATTTGGTGAGTCAACTGTGACAAACAACATTAAAAGGACAACTAGATGGGCCAGACATAAAACAAAAAAACATTGTTGGAAGTGGAAGTGTCCCAACTAGTTTTGTCTGAGACTGTAGCTGTGTTAAACATACTGAATAGTCTACATGTGTACTTCAGCATTATGCAGCAAAGAACATTATTGTCATGAAAGGCAATATTTTATATAACATACTTTCACATAACAGTTAATCAACAGAAGTGGCACTGGTGCTAGCAAAGGCAATATTTCACTTTGTCTAGACACAAATTCTGTTTACCTTAACAATGGGCTCCTCAGTTGTAGGATCAAGGTAATGCTTTGCCCTCTCAGACTCTTCATTAATTCTAGCTTCCACCTGATGGATAGTTATTGAAAGTTGAAACACGATTCTTGGTTTTCACATGACGTCACCAAAATTAAAACTAAGGGATTACATGTATCTATTATTTCGAGTTTCTTCTTTCATGAGGTATTACAGCAGCTAAACATATTCAGGGCTCAAAGTTTAAATTTGAGTTTGGGAGCTTTTGTGCTACCAGATGTAAATTTTTAGGCGCACTGCCGAAATTTTAGGCGCACAGCTGAAAATTTTAGGAGCACAGCTTATAATGTTGGAAGCATCTATTTCAAAAGAAAAAGTAAAAAGCTTAACAGTGCCACGTTTATTTGTCATCTTCGGTTTGTTACTGTGACTGATAAAACACAGTCAATTTGCTACGCAGTAATACCGTTGTGATTTTTAAGACTAATTTCTCTTTTTACAGTACAGTTGTGTCTAAAGAAAACTTACACTTGAAAAACAATTCAAAACTGACAACAATGAGTGTGTCGAACGAGAATGAAAATTAACCTTTAATGAATCTGTTAAATGCGCAACGACTTACATGTAACTAGAATACGACTTTAAAAACTTTCTTACCTGGAAAAAAAGGCTCTTAATCCGCACTGTTTTTGTTTTGATTGACGCTAAAACTGAACGTTCGACATGATCGTCCATTGCTCAAAAAGTACGTGTTTCGTTCGTAGCATATATTTGCATGTGTCAGCGGTGTTTATCACAAAACAGAAGAGTCTGGGATGGAGTAAAACATCGAAATGAAAAAGAACATTCGAGTTCGTAGAATCCATTGGGAGAAAAGACCAATTAAACATACACCGTCTTTCTAGTTCGAGTTCGTAAGTATAGTCGGAAGTAAGTCAGTCGCACTGTGCTTTGGGTTTTACGGCGCACAGGTGCAACTACACATGAATTTTTAGGCGCACAACTAAAAACCCAGTCGCATATGCGACCAGTTAGTCGCTAACTTTGAGCCCTGATATTCATTTATAGAAATCTTTGGTTTGAAGGGGTTCTTTGCTTTGCAATAGAGAACGCCTGAACTTCCAGGGTCTTGCGTGACGAGGCTTTTAGCTAACGGCCAGGAACACTCTTATGAGGCTTAAAAACATTACCATTTGATTTTCGATTTTGCTATCTAAACATTCCTTGTCTCAAAATAACTATAACTTTAATCCTTATGAGTTCCTCAAGCTATGAATTAACCCTTAAGTAAAACTCAAAGACATGTTGCTATTGATTTTCAGCTGCCATTTTTGTGCCCCTTCAAGGGACACCAACATGGCATCTCCACGTAAAACTTTATAAATTTGGGTAAAACATTTTTCCGCATAATTTGCATATGAAATATTGCACAGACCTGATTCTTGGCAAGGCTTTTTGTTTATATTTATCTTCTTTCGTTTCCCAGATTTTTGACTTTCTGTATTTAATGGTTTGCACTTTAAATTAATTTTGTTCTTAAATTAAGACTGCCACTAAGATAAACAAGTCTTGCATATCTTATTTTTGTTGATTCAACCACTTGAGACCAACAAACCTTCTGTATATATACTGATGCACTGTTTTCTGCCAGAAACTTTTGACCCTCTAACTGTTAAGACAAAAAAAAAACCAGTGAAGTCAATAGACAACAATTGTAACAACAACATAAGTTTATTTCATTGATTACAAGAAAACCGTCAGAAAAGGAGGCTCATGACTGTGTTGATCAACCAACTTCCTGTACAGAGTTAACATCCAATTTCGTCTTTTTATATGGTAATGAATGTTAATGAGTTTAAAACGAAGTAAAATAGAAGTTAAAACCATAACAACATTGATCTGCTCTAGAACGCTTAAAATGTGTGGCAGGATAAAAATTTAATTTGAACAAAACATAACGCCTACGTACTTTATTGACAGTTGACATACTGCATTAAAAAAATACAAACGGTACATGACTGACATTCTATTCACACATTTTTAGCATTCTTACTTTGTAAAATTCAGCTGATTCTTCCAAGAAAGGTTTCTCAAAGTCCTCTTCATAAACACTTCTTGTGTCAATTCCCAAGATCATCAACATCTGACAAGCATTCCTTATTGCCATCCTGAAGGGGCAGAAAACAAAATGAGTTCAACAAAATGAAAAACTGAATGAAAAAAGAGATGCCAGCAGTGAAATGTAGCTGAAATGCAGTGAAATGCAGTGTAATGGCTGACACCATCAGTCACCAAAGGTTGTGTATTTTGTAACCTAATTTTCACTTTAAATACAGGTAAAATACATACCAAAATTTACAAGACTTAAAAAAAATACATTTTAAAAGCTAAAGAACACTTAAAATACAGGGCCGAGTTGTTCAAAGCTAAGTCAATATAACCCGGGGTTAGTGTGAGATTTGAATTCAGATTTGAAAGCTTAAAAAGTGTTTCAGTTTTAATTCTTTTTGTCTACAAGTTGATAATTGGAAGCTCTAAAAATAGCACAGATAAGTATCCGAGAAAATGCTTTTGAACACAAGAAAAAGAAACCAGGGTTAAATTTAACCCCGGGTGTTAAGCACTAATCAGCTTTCGAACAACTGGGCCCAGTCTATTAACCTGCTTTGAAATACTCTGTATCAATACAGGGTAACTAGCTTGTTTGGCTTCTCAAACTTGACATTGTTACCATAAACTGCGACTTACAGACCACGGGTTATAGGCCCATCTACAAAAAAATACATCCCATGATACGCCACTTCACATTTCCCATAATTTGCACCTTACTAGCCCCTCAAAATTTCACCTAAGGATTGTTTGCAATTTCTCTTGAGATGGCTGTAATACGCAGGAGAAATAAAAAAAAAAGGTTATGCAAAATTTTGGAGGGCAAATAAGGTGCATTATGGGAAATGTGGAAGTTGCGTATAACCCCAACCCCCCCTCCCCACACACACACACACACACACACCCCAAATATAAGCCCCCCTTACCTTCTGTTCCAAATGTATTGAAATGAATTCAATTCATTATAAACTTTTGCAGCTTGTTAAAAACCAGGTTAATGCAAAATGTATTTTGATCAGCACTGCCATAGCATGTTTTGAACTGTTTTTTGATTCCTACTGTAGGCCCCCTCAGATATAAGTCCCTCCATGTATAGGCCCTCACAGATATAAGCCCCTCCATTTATAGGCCCCCTCAGATATAAGCCCCTCCATTTATAGGCCCCCTCAGATATAAGTCCCTCCATTTATAGGCCCTCACAGATATAAGCCCTTTCATTTATAGGCCCCCTTAAAACCCCTTACAAAGATGAATAAGTGCACACTGTACCTATCCACAACTTCTCCTTTACGCTCTCTTCTCACCAGTGTTAGCAGTGTTTGACAAAGATGATCTCTTATATTACCATACCGTACAACCTTTAATAGGAAACAAACAAGCAATAAAATAATGATACTTTTTCAAGCAGACAATTAAATTGAAAACAGAAACCACCACAAACTAACAAAATATTTTAAAAATCTATCAGGAAATAGATCAACAAGAAACTAACCAGGTCCCTGAAGAGGATTAAGCCTAAGTTGTAAACATTATCAACACCATTTTGTTGAACATACACTCTATCCTGAAAAAAAAAGATAGATAATACTGTAATAAGCAATAAGTGGGGAGATCAGCTCTTACTCATTTTACTCTCAAAGCTATTTGGAAGACCAGAAACATTTTCTAACTTGTGAGTTTGCAGAAACATTAAAGTAAATCCTATAGTGTCAACATTCAAACTAGAGCACTTCAGCATTACAAATGCAGTACTCTAAGACAAATGTCATGAAGCCCACTGTTTTGAACCTGTGAAATCTAGGCGTGCACAGCATGAGATGCATGCAAAAACTAAGATATCCTAGTTACCCAAGGGCAAGAGTAAGTTGCCAGTCGCCACCATGCCAGGCACTGTTAGAGTACATGTACTTTAACATGGTAGAGCGTGGTCAAGGATTTTGTTCAACGTTTGTCTCACTATGGTCCCTAAGGCGGTTGTTAGTGAGTGGTGTATCACGAACCTCACTCATGGTTGGTGGGTTTGATCCGCAGCATTGCTGGTATTATTAGAGGCAAAAGTAAAATAATCACGGCAGTACTAATAGTCTCACTCAATAAATGAAGACAATCGCCTACTGAAGACCTGCACCACACGGTTGAAACATCATGATCAATAATTGACTATCGTTAGACAAACCATTAACAAAACCCTTTAGAATAAAGTTTCTCTAACACTGCAGAGTGAACAATTGCAACGATCTTCAGGCTTTGCAAATTTTATTGATGAGTGGAGTCACTGTGACTTCTACTTCACAAATTTTGGAGTCTTTTTGGAATATTTGGAGTCAAGTATCACAACGAAAAAAGTCATTTTCAGACTTTCCATCATGTGGTCCTGGCATGTATACACTATCCTGAGGGATACACAAAGTAGCTGTGGTGGTCCACTGACCTGGAAAGCTCAAATCCAGGATGGCAGTCATAGAGTAAACTTTGATCATAATTCACCCTCTTCCTGTTTTGTCATGCAGTATAATTCTTTAATTTTGATGATTTAATTAAGGCTTAAAACATTTACAATTAACGTAAATTGTATTTGTTGCAAAAAGGGTAAGGACAAAACTGTGTTTGTTACCAAAAATTTCTGGAGTCGAAGTGGCTCTCTGTTTGTTACTGAACATTTCTGGAGTCGAAGTGACTCTCTCCATAACCTATGTGGAATCATCTGAACAATTTCGGTGTAAAATACACCAAATTTGGCACATTTGCAAACCCTGATCTTTATGAAGTACTTTCTTAAGAGCAATGACCTACCATGTACATAAGAATATCTCTGATCATCACCATAGATGTCTGGTGATCATTCCAAGCCGCATTCAATGTATCCAAGAAATTGTTATTGAGTGAAGCCACGACATCTTTGCGAATCTTACAAGAGTAAAGCAAAAAGGAGAAAACATGACCAAAGAGAAAAACACCCAAATAAACACATTGTCACAAACTAAATCCCATTTGTCTGTCACAAGACGAAGCAACAGCACTTACAAGAAAAAGGTTCCATTCAGAGAAAAATTCATTTCATGCCACTTTGACAATCTCAGCTGGCAAGAAAAACATTAACCGCAGAAGGAAGATACCATACCTTTTCTATGAGATGATCTGTAACAACCTGCTTGAGGCCAGAGTATAATCTTTCTCCATGCTTATGTAGAACCATAGTGTAAGCATTCCTACCAAACAAATCAATAACGGGTGAGAAGAAAAGCCTGCCTTTGATTAGAACTTATATAACAGCACTTCCATGTACTTGCAGTATACTAAAAGACAGTATCTAAAGATTTTCTAGTCACCCAGGAGCAAAAGTTAAGAGCCAGGGGTCACCGGGTTCTGCTAGAGCACAGACTTGGTGTAAAGAAGCAAACTTAGCATAGAATGTACTGTATAAATTTTGAACATTTTCAAGTTGATGTATGTGTAGTCGTGGTGAGATTTCTGCACAGCCCCATATATCTATGAATACATACAGAAACCTCAAACTATTTCACCCAAACAGAACAGATTCGAAACATGTACAACTGTATGAATAACAGTGTATTGATGTACAGGGTGTATGGGGCTTGCGGAAATCTCAGTGCATTGTTGCAACCTCTTTTAGGCCTTGGTACCAGTACTAATGGGTGATGATGATGAATAAACGTTATATTGTAGTTAATTGACAAGTATTATAAAGGTAGCTGATTAATAAATATTATTAATTAATAAATGATCATTATAAATAAATTACTTATTATATTATTTACTGTTAAGCTAAGCTGCTGTTCTTTCTAAAAGTGAATTAAATGAATGACTCACAGAAAACACCATGCTTGCTGTACACATGTGTAACTACAAGTAAAGTTGAGATAATCGTGTTACCTATACAGTTCTTCAAAACTCAGGCCACTGTTGTTCTTTTTCTGGATTTCCTGAATCGCATTCTTCAATAAATTCCAAATATCCTCTACATACTTGTCATCCATGGTCATCTAATTAAAAACCAAGAACAATGAAATGATTAAACCTTATTTACCTTTTGCAGGATTTTAGCACAAAGGCTTGTGGGGCAATGCAAATCACTTAAAAAAAATTCAAACTCAATGTACAAACATAAGAAATTCCAAGCGGCATGAGGCAAGCCATTTGGCGTCAATGGAATCCTAATTTTTCATACCCTCTTAGGAACAGAAAATTGATTCAAATTTCAAATGTGGGGTAAAAAGGAACAAATAGAGAAGGGAAGTGATGATGTCACAAAAACTAGATTTGTGAAATTATGTGATTGGTTGGCATATCCAGAAAGAAAAGATGAAAAACGTTCACTTGCCAGAAATCAGCCTGTTGGTGCAAATTGGCGAGGAGATATAAGCAAGGTTATCCTTTGATGACTCCACGTAAACCCTTCTAAAATAGGCCTAGAAAGATTTGTATGGAGTCATCAGAGCAAACTGGGGCTTATATCTATCCACCAATTTGCACTAACAGTCTAATTTTTGGCAATGGAGCTTTTTTATGTTGTTGTTTCTGAATATGCTAACCAATCCGATAACTTCACAAATATAATTATCTATGACATTGCACTTTTCCACTCTATTTGAGTGCCTGATTCGGGAAGAAACGTCAGTTACTGGGAGGCTTGATAAACTGAGATTGCAAAAGCTGGGATTCTATTGCATTTACAAAAGTGGCCCAAAAGTTGAACTTGGTGCTACTGTAAAGCAAATCAAGCCAAAGGAAGCAGCAGGACTAGAACCTGAGACTGCCAGATTGCAGGTCCAGCACTCTGACCACAGGGCCACACTTCCTCCATTGATATGTTTCCTTTGGTAACATGATCAATGAAATAAAATCTAGTGCCTTTATGTCTTATTATGTCTTAATTGTGTAGTGAGAAATCAGCTGAGTTGCTGGTCACCAATGGAATAACCCTTAAAGCCAAAAAACATAAATTCTCCAGACTGGTCTCGACACATTTCCATGAAGAATAAGTTGAGAGAATTTGATAAAAGATCAAAGCATTTTCCATTAGGTGATTATTTCATCAATTCTCATAACCTTTTCTCTTAATTGTGTATTGATATTGTTTGGAGAAAATTGATGTTGGTCACTCTTGGGACTTAAAGGGCTAAGGGAGGTTAAACCCTGCTTAATCAAACATAAATATCAGGGCATAAAGGAAACGATCACCAAGGATGAAATGGCAAGATTGTTACATAAATTCTCCTCATCAATACAGCCAGCGTTTCAAACCCTAGCAAGTACCTTTATATTTTTAAAAGTACAATGTACTAATAAGGCAAAATTCAGGTATTCATTTTTTCTCAGAGTCGTCAGCTGGGCAAGTAAGCCTGGTAGCATACATGTACTTGCCCATTTTCAATTTGGGTTGCCCAGACAAAAGTGCAGAATTGTATAAACTTAAAAGAATGGTGAAAAAATTGCGTGCAACTTGAACATTTCTGATTAGCATTTATTCCCATTATAGTTATTATGAAAGGGTTTTAACTAAACTTTTAAGTACAACAGGCTACAGGCCTAGGCTAAACATAGCTTATTTACGTGTTACAAGTAGCCACCACGGTTGGTCAGTTTGCCATGAAGTGAAGGCAAGATGGTAAGCTTGCCTTTTCCCCCATATAAGGCAGCAGCTCCTGCGTCACCTTTCTGCGAAACGTCTTCTAAAAAAGGTCACATCTTTTTTTTTTCGCCAAAGGCAACGAAACGCCCTCTACAAAATGCCAGATCTTTAAGATTGCTGACACATTTTCTACGAATGGTCTCTGAATGCAGTACTTCACAAAAAAGTGAGCCTTTCGAAGAAAATGCTGAACCATCAAAGATGGCGCCCAAACTCACGATTTCATTGCAGACAAAAGCAGCTTGTTATTCTTCATTTTCTAAAAGTTTTAAGTGGATCAGAGAAGTAATAAGAACACGGGGAAAACGTATAAAAACATATAATAATTTTTTGAAAAGATTTTGTGGTTGAGAAAAACCTCACTCATCCGAAGGGCGACTTTTTAACTTATCTTAATCATTTGTACAGGATTGAAGTCACCTGAGACGACCAGACGACTGGGAATATGGATCGCTGTGAAATTCAAGGAAAATTACAATTATTTCATTTTCTAAAATACTGAAAAATACAGTGCCATGTTAAGGAGCAGCTGACTCAAAAGTTAGGAAACTGTTACGATTAAAGAGTTCCAGCACCAAATTTTTGATTTATGGTAAATGGCAGTAGTAAAGTTCTCTCACATTTGGTCGTGAACCTAAAAGCTACACCTGTAGCCACGAATGTAATAACAATAGTAAAATAGACTGTAAAATGTCTGTTTCTTCATGACTGAAAAAATAAATGAACAAAAAAAATCACTTTGATCAGTTTTTTGATGCCAAGTTAGGAATGAAAAAAGCACAAAAAATTTATGATAAAACATGAAACGTACCTTCATTAAAGAAAAACAACCACACAAGCCTTACTTCAGTTTCAAATACCAAACTCCTTGCAGCTTATTAGAATAGCAACATTGCATACATTAACATTGGATGCAAAGCTAATAAATAATTAATACAAAATTTCTAAAAATAGCTTCTCAGACTGTTAAAGGAAACTGTTCATGAATACTTTAGAGATACGATTTCTTAAAATAGCATGATTTAAGAATTTGTTTTCTTTCTTCCTGGCTGAAATTTAATGGACTTTTCTCAGTTAAATTTTGTTTAGTTTAAAAGGCTGATGGCAAACAAACAGAGGACAGCAAAATCTTTAAGTTCAAGTTTTGTTATACAACTATACATGTAACTATAGTTTATATCCCTTGATAGTTTCTAACACACAGTAGTAATTTAGAAAAAAGGTATTAATTTTGCAAAAAAAAAGTTAATAACTGTTGGAAGAATTTTTTTTTTTGAAAATAGTGAGTTATGAAAAGAAAAGATAATGATCAAAAGCAAAAAACACTTCACTTTCAAAACTATAAAAGCATCATCCAGCTGTAGCATTTTGAATAAATTATTCACTTGGACCACTTAATTTATGCAGTAAAACCAAAAAGATTTCTTAAAACAAGTACCACCAAACTCACAAACAAAAAGCTATAATACAGTCAATTATATGTATACTTTTGCAGATTGGTGACTGGGGATTTATTGTATCTGGTAAGTGTTTGGGTGTTTTCATCAAGGTTTTAAAAAATTATTCCCCCCAAGGTATATGAAACTTAATATTATTTTGTACTAAACACAATGTATAATCATGAACTCAGCTGACCTTGAAGTCTATACCATTAATTCAAAATATACCACACCAACTGTCTTAACTGCAATTATTCATGTTTTTACCTATCCTGCAACAGTATAAATAATTTTTCCTTTTTCTTTCTTTCCAAAAAAAACCTTATTGGAACAACAACACAAACACCCTTGAATGAAAACGTTTGGCCTTACATATATACTGCAAAGTTCAAAATAAGATGGCAACTGCCCATTTAGGGGGTCACTCTTACTCATAAGTGGTGTCATTAAATGACTGAAAATTAGCTGTTATTACATTAACCATTCTGCCCCAGGGTAAGTAGCTCTTTCCTATGGGGAAGGAACTATTTGTGAGGGTAGTCTTTCCAGAATAACAATATTCTTGGATATGCATTTTAAAGAGGGATGAAAAGATGTTAAACTTTTAATTTTAAACAGGTGTTGAACAATTTTTCTGCACTTTCATGCATACCTCTTGAATGTCATCTTCGCCTTTCTTAAAAAAACGGATATGAATCATTTTCACAAAAATGCAGTGTGACCAATCAAAGGAAATCTTATTAGCATAATGTAATTATGAACAGTGGAATTTTTGCCATATGACCACCTTTTTCTGTCCACAACAAAAGTCCAGTCATTTCCTTATCCTACAACCTTGAAAATTAAACCACCCACTTAAAGGCCTTTTTTCACAGGCCAATGAAAATAGAAGTTTTCGAGAGATTTGCTTCAGATAGACCTTGCAGAGGAGCTAGGGTGTAGTCCATGATCTCATATTTTGTCCATTAAAAAGTCACAAGATGCCTTATGAGTGAGATCCAGGTGGCCTTTGTACAGTTTGACTTATACAAAAAGACACTTTCTCTACATTGACACCTAGTCATTGCACCAGAGACAAATCATTACCAATGACACTTTATTAACCTCTCTTCAACAGACAATTTTTTTCCGATCCTAATCAGGACTGTCACTGACAGCCGGGGCCCAGGTACTTCCTCCAGCTACTTTCATAGGAAAATAGAAAAATAGAAGCTAGGTGGGGAATCAAATAGCTTGTAATTTCTTTACTTGTTGTATTTACCTACCAACTTGAAGTCTCAGGGACAGCCCTGCCCAAGGGTGTCTGAGAACAGAAGGTTACACTTAAGTATGTTTGACAGCCAGTAACCAGTCAGTTAACGTACATGATGTTTTGCTACTTTAGAGCTTGCTAATGTGTGCCATAAATTTGGATCTCATATACCACCTCTCAAATTCACACTTCTTCTTAAATTGTTAAATAAATTCTTCCATCATCCTAGTGCAATATTTATGAGAACGGCAAAAACTACATGAGTTCAGATTAACAGTCCAACGTTGAAAAATAATGTCTTATCCTTGGTTGATTTTTATTGTTTGTCACCTCCAGTTCCATTACACAGTGCCGGATGCAGGTGCGTGCACTAATTGGCTTATGTGATGGGTGTCTATTCAAATTTATTTGTGTGTGCTTTGCTTGTTTTGTTGACATGTTCACCTAATTTGCACTCAGATGGATTGCATTGTCCAGTTTAAATGGAAACCAGGGACCTGTCCCTCAAAAGTTTTAGAGTTTCATAAGTTATCCAGTGCATCTCCAACAACTTTTTGGGTGTTTCGACAAATCTCCCTTGATTTTTTGGCCTCTGTTTGATTTTTCCCAGTAACTTGCCTGGCAAGAGTAATGTTACAGACAAATTGCCAACTAAGCAAAATAGCCACTGGAGGCAGAATTCTCGGCTTAGCAAGTTAAGTACTTTAGAAATCAAACTGTACAAAAGCCACATGTATTATTATCATTATTATTACTAGACTTCTGCTGATTAACATTTTGACTTAAAGTAAGTATGCATGCATCTTGTGCCACAAGATGCATGATCATACTCAAACTCTTGCCCACGTTCGTCCCTAGCATGTTTACATCATGCAAGGAAACAAAGAATGTTAAATTACAAACTTAGCATTAACATATCAATATTCTGATCATTACATGTTTGGACTACGTAACTTCCGTTAAGGTATTTGCAATCTCGCATTAAAATTGAACAAATTTTCCCTTAAAATTAAAAAACAAGCGTTTTTGGATAAATGGAACTTCCTCATCGCAAATAGACAAATCTGGGTGCAAATCGCGCCAAATTTGACTTCCTCGCCATGGCCCTAATCAATTGCATTTTTCCACTCTGTGATCCTTCAAAACGATTACACGGTAAATTTTAACTACTTTAACATTTAAACTAATAAAGGAACGTTTTCGGCTGCTTTAGATATTCATTCTTACCGGAAAAGCCCGAATTCTCATTTTTGTGTCTTTCTTCCCTGTTCGCAGGCTCGACATGTCGACGAATTCTTCAAGCAACTCCCAACCGACCAAATCCTTTGATTACTGCAGCAAATCGGCCAAAACGTCGAAGAGGCTGGTTGACTTAGTAAAGCGTATTCCCATGCATCGAAACTCTGAACCATCAGCGCATCACCGCCGCTTATCAATCGCAAACAGCTACAAGAATAGCCTCCATTTTGCCAAGTGAAACCGCGAAACAAACTCTGTAGCCATTAATATATCCCACAATGCATTTAGAACTGACGTCATATATTCAATAGCGCAAGCGCAACAAAAGGCCTGGCTGCCCATGAAAACAAGGCTTGGACACTAAGCCTTAAATTTACAAGAGAAAAACGGTGAAACAGATGGTTTGATTGTAGGTAGTCTTCTGCTGATCTTGGATCTAGGGTATAGGTTTAGTCGTAGATAATGTGGGCGCTTCAGTGACTATTTCAAATTTCCCGAACCACATCAGAATGCAAGAGCTTAGCAGATGGCCAATATTCAGCCTTCTGGACGAAGACTTTTTAACTTCTCTTAAAATAGCGTACGTGTTTGGAAATGCAGGGAACGAAGCCATCGTTATTACAAGAGACGATGATGTTTATGCTTTAGGATCTAACGGGAGCAGTTGTCTAGGTGTCGGTGATGCCCAAAGTTGCCTTCACCCTAGGAAGGTGGAGGCATTGTGTAAGAAAAATATAGTGTCCTTGGCTTGCGGCAGTGGTCCTCATGTGCTTGCAGTTTCAGGTACGTATGACCCAGATTGCTTTTCCTGACCATCTATAAAGGAAAAGTAGCAAGACTTCTGTCCATCCTTATACATTTATTATGCAATCATACGTGCTTCAACTATTTGTGTAGGCAGTTAGGTAGCAACTTTTAATTAGGGTAACACGTGACAGTAAACAGTGATGAACTGGTGGCCCTCAAAAGTGTCAGTGACAAAAGCTTGAGATAATGTATGCATAATATTGTTGGTTTGCACGTGATGTCACGACAGCCATGTTGGTAGTCAAGAACAAAATCATTTCTCTCCTCTGGGAGCTAAACTCTATTTTCATGTAAATTCTTCGAGAAAAAATTATATTGTTTTGACCCCCAATGTGGCTGTCTTGTCACGTGGTTGCAAACCAAGAATAGGCATGAGGCTGTACAGACCTACAGTGTACCCTTGTTTTGCTCTCATCAGTTAGAGATCAAAAGCTAGGTGAACATGTAACTCAATATCTGGATGCAAACAGTTATCTGCTGTGCAGCCACTATTTAGCCTGCCACTTCTCGCTGAACAAGTCAAATGATATGATAGCTTTATGCCTTTGTCATATCACAGAGGAGTGTAGTGTGACCTGATCTCCTTTGCAGCCACTCAGGTCAGATTCATGCAGTGCTTCCCCTCCCAAAACAATAGGAGATAAATGTAAGTTGGTTCAAAGCAGCTGTGTGGCCAGTAAGTTCCGACAAATGTAAAACACCCTAAATACTGTTTTTTATGTTTTAAAGGATCAGGTGAAGTGTACACGTGGGGTCATAATGGCTACAGTCAGCTTGGAAATGGGAATTCAAATCAAGGATTAATACCCTCACCTCTAACATCAGCGTTACAAATGAAGAAGGTTGTTCAAGTGGCTTGTGGCAGTCATCACTCATTATCCCTGACAGATGATGGCGAGGTAATTTCATTTTTTATGGTAATCATAAAATATTTCACCGCGGCAGGATTACATAACCATGGCAGGATTAGCTAACCATGCCAGGATTAGCTCAGTCAGTAGAGCGCTTGACTGCGGAGTGGTAGGTCGCGGGTTTGATTCCTAGGGTTAGACCAATACTCAGGGTCTAAAAGTAACTGAGAAATAAAGGCACTGTCTTTGCACTGCATGCAGCTAGACCCTTGCTTGACACAGATGACCACATAAAATGGTGGCACTGTCTCCAGACCTTTAATGACCTAAAAATAATGTCCCCAATATTTTAGTACTTTTGTGCAAAGGTGCCATCCCTACGCAATCCCACAATGCGTAAAGGTTGGCCACACCACTTGGGTCTACGACCTCTACTCTTTTCGAATAGTGAGGTGGGTTCTTTTACGTCCCACAAGAATAAATCAGTGAAAGTACTGTGAGAAGGGACCTACGGTTTTTCGTCCTTATCCAAGAAGACTAGAAAGTCTAACCATTTGCAGATCTCATTACAAAAGCAGCACTTTCTCCTCAGTTATTTAAAGACCCTGAGTGTTGGTCCGGCTGGGGTTTGAACCCACGTCTTCCTGCTCGGCAGACCGGCGCTCTCCTAACTGAGCTAACCAGGCAGCAGACTTTTGAGTATTTCTGTGCTTTAGTTTGAAATTTATCTCATTTTTTCCAAAAAAGTATGGTTTCTGGGGCATTTTTTCACGTATTTAGTCACTGACAAAGACTATTTTGATTATTACAAGGATGACTGCAAATTTTGATTGTATGTACTTCATGCAAGACTTCATGTAATGTCCTATGCCATTCCCATGACTGTCATTATTTGGGGGCCGGGTCAATTTTTGGGGAGGGCTGGGGTAGAGGGGGGGTTTGGGTGGGGGTTTGTTGGCATTCAGGGAGGGGGGTGGGCAGTGCAAGAGATAGAGTTTCCAGATTTTAGATCTCCAAAGGTTGGCATCTCTGCTATTATACCCCCAAGTATTTCTCTGTTTCTGACTGTCTCAAATATTCTGGCTGTTTCACACACTATTAAGGAATTTTTTACCTCTTTTCTCATGTTTTTAGGTTTATGCTTGGGGTTACAACAACTGTGGACAAATTGGTCTTGGCACTACCAACAATCAGACTGTACCCAGAAAAATCAACTCAGCAATAATAGGTGTGATAAAAGACAGTATAATGTTTACAAGTTCACAAGTTTACATGTTTATTCTCAAGATCAAGTATGTACAAATTAACATGAAAAATTTGCACTACATGTATAAGTAGTGATCATCAGTAGTCGAGCCTTTTGTAGGTCAATAAAGATGCCACATTCGTGAGAAAAGGTTTTTATCAATATGTCAGTTTATTTAGTTAATGGAGAATTGGTAGGATTGAGTATTAAACCATCTTATTTTAACCAAAAATTAACACTGTTCTTGATTATTATACAAACTTGTGAAAAACAAAAACAAATTTACGGGTAGTTTAAGTGTCATTCTCCTGATGATAACCAGTTTTTAGTTATATCTATTTTCTTCTTCTTCAGATCATTTGATTTTAATGTGAAACTGCCATGTTGATGTTTTCCTGTGAGCACTTCAATAAGTTATCTACTCACAAAATTTTTTTATTATTATTATTTTAAAGGAAGCAAAAAGATAAGCATGATTGCTTGTGGTCAGACATCGTCCATGGCTTTGTCAGATGCAGGGGAGGTAAGAACTGCAAACAAAATACTGTAGTCAAGCCTCAATATCTGACCACCTCCCATAAGCGACGACCTGTTCAAAACACGTGAATTTTTCCAGTCAAACTCCCATGATTAAAACCTCTCGTTTAAACAATCACCTCTCACAAGTGACTGCAACTCAACCTCGTTCCCAGGGTTCGCTCCGTAGAGCGGGTAGGAGAGAACCCTGGGAACGAGGTTGAGTGCAACTACATTTTGGATAGACTGCAAGTAGTCCGTCGGGTTCTCAGACAAAATGAGCATGTTGGCACTGAAAACGCTTTACCTCAATGACTTTGAAGAAAATAAAAGTTCTTCCTCTCCCAGCTTATGCCTTCGTTTCCCATGGTTCACGGCTTCGCCTAACCCAGCGACTTTGAAGAAAATAAGAGACTGTTGGAGTCTACATTTTGGACTGATCGTGATGGTTTTGTAAAATTTCCATTGCTTTTAACCTCTCGTAAGAGACCAATTGACGTATGGTGTGATTTTTTTGTTCACTGTGGTATGTTTTACGTCACTCAGAGTATATGACGAACTTTGCCAAAAAGAAAAAAAGTAGATGTGTCGGAGCCTCTCGTCGGAAGAGACCACCTGTGGGTTGATTCTTGTAAGCGACCACCTCCTATAAGCAGCCGCTAAATCTTCGCATTTTGTAGCTTTTTGTGTAGTCGCGTATGGGAGGTTGAGCTGTATGTGAGTGTGAATGAGAAATTCTGTGTTTATACGTTTTTGTGGATCACAAGTTAAAGTAAAAGGGCTATCAATTTACCTTTTACAGGGTGACAACAACTCCTAATGCAAAAGCATTTTTGTAACTTTTATTAAATAAGGTGGAAAAAGTAGGTCTTGTAAGTTACTCTGAAAACCTAAAGTGAAAGAAAATTGGGGGCAACCATGTACATGTAACTATTGTTTGGAAATGGTGCGGTTATAACTCTCGGCTTAAATGTCATGTTGTTTTTCGGTTTTAGATATAGCGATGGTAATGTAATCTATTGATATTAAAGTGGCCCTTTGGACCGTGGAAACTTTGTAGTATGAGGCAACTAATGTTAATGCTACCCCAACCCTCACTGCGCAGATTGGGTTAGTGACACGTCATCAGTATGGAATTTCTACGCTCATTCCTCAGACGTCAATTCGCAAGAAAACCAGGGCATAGTGAAATGTTGGGTGTTTTCAGAGGCTGCCTTCAACCTGGACAAATTCTTAACTTGCTAAGATTAGCAACGATAGTGGTTTTTGTTTTTCAGCTTTTTGCGTGGGGCTACAATGGAAATGGACAGTTAGGAGTTGGAAACAATGCAAATCAGCTGACACCTTGTAAAGTTATTGGACTTGTTGGAACAATCACCACACAAGTAAGAACATCCGTAAAAATATTCGTGCAAGGGAAAATGAAATGAAAAACATTCATGCACGCCAAGTAACCCTAAAAAATATTCATGCACTGATCTAAAAAATTCATAAAAGGGAAATGTTAACGAAAAAATTCATGCGGCTAGAAAATTCCCCACACCCATAACTTTTCTTTTTAAAGCAAGGTTAAGATTAGCTAAAAACAAATTTGCAGGTGCATCACGCTTTTTTATACATTTCTTTACCGACTGCGACGTGCAACGTCTAATTTCACGGTTTACCGAGGACGTGAACACAAGACAACGACTTTCTTTTTCTTTTTTTAAACCTACAGTCTTTAGAATTTATCTCCAGAGAAACCCGCCAAAATTTGACACCTTGAACGAGACGGAACAAGAGTGATGAAGCTTGAACCGCGCGAATTCAAACTTTTTAAGTAAGGTTTTCGTCGGCGCCTCCTTCGCCGTGCCTCTTGCCCAATCTGCCTACTGAGTCGCAATTCGACCATTATTTTATCGTTAAGTTCCGAAAGTAACGACCCTCGTTGCTTTCGGATTTAGCAACCTTCTGCTCTCACTACTTTTGGGGGGTGGGGGAGAGGGTCTTTATTTTCGGATGGCTAAAACATGTACTCCACATAGGCACTTAAATAATAAAATCGAAAAATTTGTTAACTTTCAATTTATGTAGCGTATTGCTGTCCAACGCAATGTAACGTATACTGTACATTGTAACAGGCACGTTTTATCAGCTGTAAACTTTCACAACCGTCACGCTGACGATGACGGATGTACCGTCGAAACATGTTTGTTAAAATTTAAAAAGTCGCACTATTTTTGAAAAAAATCGCACAAAATGTGAAAGGAATACTTTTTGAAAAAGGTAATATATATCCTGTACTTAAAAGAGTTATGAATAAGAATGTCAAAATAGTCATTATTACTAAACCTCGGATCAGTGTTCAGGGTATCTATCATATCCGTTATTTTTGCAAAAAGAGAAATTAGTTTTGAGGTCTCTACTTTCGGAGGGTCGTTATTTTCGGGGGGATCGCTACTTTCGGGATTTGCTAACACCTGTAATATTTTATGACGCTTAACTTTCGGAACTTTATGGTATAAAGGTCATCCTTTTTCCCATCAATGTCTGTAGATTGTTTGTGGTTATGCACACTCGCTGGCGTTATCAGATGCAGGATGTCTCTATGCTTGGGGCGCAAACTCATATGGACAGTTAGGGACTGGAAATAAGGCACATCTGGTCACACCAACTAAAATTGGTCTGGATAAAGGGAGGTAAGAGTATTGTTGTTCCCAGTGGCACTTGCTTTTTAACTCTAGTATACCCAATCTCGTTGCTCATATGAAAAAAAAATTAAAAAAATCCATTTCATTAGAATGGTCTCACTTGAAAATTTCCCTAATCCACAGACTCAAGCCTTAGAAGTATGTACTAAATAAGTATGGCATCAGTTGAAAATATCGCAAAGAGGTTTCATTTGAATGGTCACAACATAGGATGTCGTCCACGGACTCCAAAGTAAGAACTACAGACTAAATGAATAGTATCATGTGAAAGTACTGCTGAAGAGGTTTCATTCGAATGGTCACACCATACTCATAGACATGAAAGTTAGAACTCCATACTAATTAAATAGTACCATGGAAAAGTACTGCTGAAGAGGTTTCATTTGAATGGTAACACCATAGAATTTCATCCACAGACTCAAAAGTTAGAACTACATACTAAATAAATAGTATCATGTGAAAGTACTAGCTGAAGAGGTGCGTACATCCATAACACCGTGACAACAGCGCATAGCCCACAAATAAAGTAACAGAATTTCCAAATAAACAAGTCTTTAAACAACTAAGGAGTATCTCCAAAAGATCATTAAACGAATCAGTTCAAAGTTCAGCGGTAGGTTGAATTCAGAGAGCGTATGATCCTTTTTTATTCTTTGTTGTTGTTGTTGTTGATGTTGTTGTTTCTGAAGTGCACTAGTGCTCCAGAGCTAGCTGGTGCATGTGCTAGTGTTCACTGTTTTGGGTGAAAAGCAAATACTTGCAATACCTCCTTTTTCTTGTTGGCTGTTCTTGAGTGCATTTCTTTCCTCAACAGAACCAGCAAATAGCACAAGAATAGCATATTCAGCTCAAATGTACATTTATTTTCCAGATTTGTTGAAATTGCTGCCTGTCATTACAGTCATTTGTCAGCCGCCATGACTGCTACTGGAAAGGTCTGTATTCAGTGAGAAAATCAAATTAGAGGGTGAAAATGTCAGTTAACTTTGTATAGTGCCAGTCTGTCTTTTAGCTTACTGGCTTATAGCCACGAACGCTTTGTGCTATCGTCTGCGCAAGAATGAATGAATGAATGAGAATCATGGTAAGATCAATTCTATTGTTTTCGTACGTGCAGTAATGCGTAACCCTCGGAGCCGAAGGGACTGGGTTGGATACCTGTTGTATCCCATTTTTCTTTAATCTGTATGATAAAGCGTTGTTTTGACAAAGAGGAATTTGATGAGGTTAAATAGTATATTATCCACCGTTATTTTAAAAACGCAAAGTGTTTGCGTTCGTGAAATAAAATAGCGGTTTCCTCAATTAGTACTAGCTTCGTGTTAAATAGATTGTTACTCAGATAAATAGTTTTTTAATTATATTTTTCTATATGCGTTCTCTTTTGCTTGTTCAAGTAAACAGATGTTGTTATCGTAGGTTTTTTTACCGTCCTGTAGGTTTACATGTGGGGCCAGTGTCGTGGTCAAGCCGTAACAAGTCCAATGGAAACAAAGTTTACCAAAGTTGACAGCATATTCGCTTGTTTTGCCTCTCCTCCGTCAATGTTCAGACCTCTCATAGTAGGTTAGTTGCTTATCAACTGTCCTGATTTAAGCACTTGGGAACTTAATTAAGCAAAGGCGTTTTTGAGCCACGCGCGTCAACCGAAAGTGACTTTTTACATTCCTGGGCAGTGGTTTTGCAAGAATTTTCTGTCAAATCGTCTCTACAAGTGTAAACCAACTAAGCAATTCAAATTGTATAGCGTAAAGGCATATCAAAAGGGAAAATTCCTCACTTCCGGATGACGTGCGTCTCTCCAAAACGCCTTTGCTTAAATCCCCAATGACCTATCTTTGGCGCCATCTCGCGCGTTGCTAAGGACGTGCAATTTCACTTCCGGTGGATGGAGTCATATACACTTAATGTCAGATCCCAAGGGAAACAGTTAGTTTTGTTTTCCCTCGAGTCCTGATGTTTCCCGAGACGAAGTCGAGGGAAACATCAGGACTCGAGGGAAAACAAAACTAACTGGTTTCCCGAGGGATCTGACATTAAGTGTTTTGTTATATTTCTAGACTTTCACTTCAACAGCAACAAAAGAATAACCGGAGCGAACGAAAACGAGCCAAAACAGTCGACTCGGTACTTACAACAACACAAATTTAATTCTCAAAACCACTGAATGAATGATTTACAAACAAAAGTACTTTCCTTATATCATCTGCATTTTTTCCCTCCACTAGCTGCTGTTTTTCTTCTGGGAACTTCTGGGATAACTTTAAAAATCGTTGCTTTTTAGCTTGAGACTTCGTTTTTGTGTTGTTGTGTTCATTCACGAAAAAGAAAACTGGCTGGACCTGGCGGTGTTTTTCCCGCCTTCTGTCACACCACTTTCCACCATGCTTTGATCACGTGCTGCAATGTATCCCGAGCGGGATACATTGTTTAATGTATCACGATCGGGATACATTTGATTTTAGTCAAGGCCACGTGACCAAGAATCAACCAATGGCAGTCCCTGTTTAGTTGAGTGAAATTCTAAGAATATAACAATCACGTTTAGTCAACGCCACGCGCAGCTAATAAGTGGCGTTTGTTCTAAGTTAGTAAACCAACTTTCTAGAGTAAGTCGTTGATAGTAGTCTAGATCTGTAGAATACGTAATACGACTGTTTACCTGTGACGTGATACAATTCACCTCATGTACGTCTCAGTTTCTCGTTTTTTCGATCCTTTTTAGTCCCTACTATCTCAGGGAGCCTGGAACTTACTACGATTCTCTAAGCACTGCATTCCATGCGATTCTACAAGTGTAAAAGGTGTCCAGCAAATCGTTCTAAATCAGAGATTTGGCCTAACTCCTTTAGTTGGTTTATTATTGGGCCATTCCACTGAAAGGGATTTCCTGTCTCTTTTTGCTAATTAGACAGCTTTAGATTCTGAGACAAGGATGACTACCGTACGAGTACGAGATTTTCTCAATACTGAGTATTGCTCACGCGTGAACCAGCGTCATTTTGGCGGGAAAACGTGATAGCCGTCGTCATTCAACTACGAGTTTTAGCGAGAATGTCCTAGTGGCGGAAACAAGTTATTAAATGTAAGAAGTTTTATCATGTTGCTATCGGGAGAGGGCTTAACCTCCTTCAGTATAAATAACCGTGCGAACTTTTTTTGGTGAAAACAAGTAAAATGAAACTTTCGTGGGTGTCGTTTTTTTGAGAACACGCGCAAAAACTTTAACTTAAATCTCTTACTCGTAATCGTTCTCGTCCTCAAATCTAAAGTTCTCTAATGCATTTATGGCCTTCCCGGCCACTCACTCCCCTCTCACTTGTTTTTAGATCAGGTGCAAGAAAAGAGAGTGGAACAAAGTGTTAAAGATGCATTTAATGACCAGGTATCGGTGTAAATGTCTAGCATTCCTAACCCCGGTTGTTCTAAAGCCACAATGAGGGACAAAAGTGTTGAGATACTTCTACAAAATGGCCCTTTTTTGAACAGTGGACATACCTATCCCCTCCCCCTGTGTACCCCACCCCCTCCCCCCAAAATCAATGTTGTATTTTAGACCCTCAAGTCTTTCTTTTGCTACAGACAGCATTTATTCGGGGGTGGAGGGATTTAGGGCGTTTAAATACAGTGAAATAATGAATGAATGAAATTGTTGGTAGGAGCACCCGTTTTAGACAGGTGTGTCAGCTGCTTTTGTCCCTGATTGTGGATAGCGCTACCCAATGGAAATATCGCTATAAATAACCTTACCTCTCCCCTCATGGGGCTTCTCTGGAATAATGAAAAAAATGATTTAAATGGTACATAACGAGGTTGAATAATCCAGCCTGTTCGGAGGTGAACTAGTTGGCTATTTTGCAAGCGTGGCCGAGGATTTGAACTCGGGACTACCGAGTACAAATCTAGATAGCGGTCAGGGCGGGACTTGAAATCGGGGCTCTAACCGCTCAGCCACTCTGTCTCTTACAAAGTGGATAAGTGTTTGAGAAACCAATAGCGCTATCCTGAGGATGGAGATTTATCCGGCGGATGGTCTCATTCACCTTTTAAACAGCTAGAGATTGAAAGTAGGCCGGCAGTTGCCTAAACGTTGCAAATCTTGTGCGCAACCTATTTTTGTGCATACAAACTAGTGTCATCGAATTTAATGCGCCACTAAGTGAATTTCATCCATGAGAACCATGAAATCATGAAAATTGGATCTTTGACTCAATAAAGTGAAATGCTGTCTCGAAAAAAGTGACTCACAATTATCTCCTCTCCCTGATATTTCCTTGTCGACCAATTTTCATGAAGTTGTGATATTTTAATTTTCCATGATCGGTGTATTTGGTAGAAACGCAGACGGGTTTTTAGTCGTGGCTTCTCTCCACCCGAAAAGTAAGTCTTCACTGCCGAGTCACCAAACAATTCCTGTGACGGAGAGAAGCCACAATCCTTATTTCGTGTGCCGTTATTTTAAATTGTCGTTGAAAGGTGATAAATTTTGGGATGCTTAAGGTATACGAACGCTGTCAAACAATCCCTTTCTCTGTCAATCTTTCACGTTTTTTTTCTTCAGGAAACAAGCGATTTAACATTTATGATTGAAGGAAAACCTGTCTACGTACACAAGGCCATGTTGAAAATAAGGTAGTGGCACCTTACCAGCTTTATTAACTTATGTATTCCATAGTAAAGCGTTACATAAATACAATTCCGCTTGCCTGTACTTTCTTTTAACAGTTCAATATGATATGCCTTCGAAACGGCGGACGTTTCGCCCAGAACTTGCAAGCAAGCATTGCGCGGCTTTGTGCGAACAAAGTGCGTTTTGATAAAGTTAGGATGATGAATTTTGAGCCTGGTGAATACATGGGAAAGATGATTTTTCAGTCAGTGACACAGGTGGCTCGGAAGAACCACTGAGCCACAGGATACTCGTTGGAGCTGAGGCTACTAACCGTAAATCCTCTATTAAGCCCGCTGTAGGGCTTATTTATTTCAAGCCCATTCGAGGAGGGGTGGGGGGAGCTTAATAGAGACAAGGGGCTTCAAGATGCGGCCTTACAACTACACATCATGCATTGGTAAGGATGGCTAGCCCGTGGTCGAATCCTGAACAGGGTGGGGAAACGGGTGGGAGCGGGGGTTAATTCTGCGCCGACATGTTCTCAAGTTGTGTAATTTGTTACATATCATTAAAACAACTCAATTTCAACAGGTGTGAACACTTCCGTAGCATGTTCCAGTCACACTGGGGTGAAGACGACAAGGAGTAAGTCTGACTATTTAGGGTTGAGAAATTCAAAAGCTCTTTAATTTCTCGTAATTCGTCCTGGCTGATAGACCTTTTCTGTATTCCTGTAAATAAAGGCATCAACTCAAGGCTTGTGTTGACAAAATACAGTGATTTGTATAAAATTATCCAGCTAAGCCTCAACCTCACTTCTTTGTGTTTGCTCACTGGAGCTAAATGCGGGAAAGGTCTATATGGATTATATGGACTACTTAGGCCCTTACTTGCCTAGTCCGTGTACGGCGTTTTCCCAGGCCTTCTCGGTGAATTTACTTAGGTGACGTATGGCAAGGCCCTTACCGTGGAGCGAGGGGGACTGGTGAAAGAAGAGAGACCTTTCCTAATCAAAACCGAAGAAAGGAGAGAGATGAATGTTTAAGGGCTTCTATTTGCAGGCTGAAAAGACTTCTAAATGTCTTAAGGGAACAGAATGTCTCCCTACAAACATTCTGCAAAGTCATTGTTGTTTCCCAGGGGAACTTTTTGTTTAAGCTTCTTTGCGAAGAGAGATGAGGAATGACGATCAAAGCCTTTCTTAGTATATCTTTTCCACAGTCAGTTGCTTATTGTTGAAAGAGATATTTGTGTGTTCTAATTACATTTTGTATAATTTTCTTTCCACCTTGTTTCAGTGTGATAGAAGTCACTCAGTTCAGTTACCCCGTGTATCGTGCTTTCCTGCAGTATCTATATACTGATCATGTTCATCTTCAACCAGAGGACGCTATTGGTGAGTATCTAGCCACTAAACAAACGGTAAATGATCGGAACTGGAAAAAAAAGTCCCGGTTGTCTCTGTCTTGCGAAAAAATTAACAACCACTGGTTGAGCTTGCCAACCGCTGAAAAGGCTGTCTATGATGAGGTGACGAAATTGCCTTTGAGGAGGGGATGAGCTTACGAACAGCAAAAAACATTAAAAATTGTTGGGACAAGTCACAGACGCTTTGATAGCATTTCTGATAGTTGCCCTACCGACAGCTGACTCTATTCACGCCCCTTGCTTAGTCCCTAGGCCTCATTATTCCGCGCGGCCAATTCGTTTCGGGTCAGGTAGTCCGAGCGAAGAAGTGAGTGTTTCCCGCCCGTTCGCCTCGGGTACGTCACCGAAGTAATTTGACCGGAGGGCCTGGGAAAACGCCGAACAGAAACTAGGCAAACACGCCGCGTTGTACACGCACGTTTCTCCAACCTCCTTCCCAGGGCTTTTTCCTTAGAACATGGGGGAAGGGGAGGGGCGCCTCTTTTCCCACCTCTCCCATGTTCTAAGGGAAAAGCCCTGAGGACCAATTTGACTGTCTTTTGCCGGTTGAGCTTCCCTTGGTAACATCTGCGAGGTAAGAGAGCGTGTTAGCAAAAACGATTAAAGAGGCCTGCACGTTTTTTTTTTACATGCACGCCTCCGAGAGAAGAGAAGTAATGAAAACGCGCTTTCGTATATGCTTTGAACTAGTGGAAGTTTTTTAAAGATTGTTTCAGCTACTCCATTTTCTTGCAGGTCTACTTGACTTGGCTAATTCCTACTGTGAGACACAGCTCAAACGCCTCTGCGAACGAATTATAAAACAAGGCATCACCGTGGACAATGCCGCCATGTTGCTTGCGGCGGCGCTCAAATACGAGGCTGTGGTAAGAAGTGAACCAAGGATCCGCTTTCACGAGGGTCATGTTAATCTCCTTTAGTACTGAAGCTGTGCTGAGCCCGGGGTTTGAGGGTGGGGGTGGCCTGGGGTTACTCAACCAATTGTATACAGGGTGGCTCCTCCCCGAGGTCCAACCCCCTACCCTGTTATATACCATTTTTGACAGAAAAGTTACCCCCCTCGCTGATTCCGCAGTAGTTAAGCGTTTAGTCCATTTCTATTTCTTTTCTTTCTAGGATCTGGAAGAATTCTGCTTCAAGTTCTGTGTCAATCACCTGACGGCAGTCACGCAAACTGAAGCCTTTAATCAACTGGATGATACAACAGTCAAGGAATTTATTCAAAAAGCTGCTAAGTGGGGTGCCTTTAAATACTAAACCTGAACCACTCTCAACTAACTGTACCTTTAAAGTAGACTTTCTAAAACTCCTTTATTTTTTTCCTGGTAAGGTTCGCTCACTTTTAAGAAGTTATGAGAGGTCGACTAGTAGCAAGTCTATCTTAAAAGTAATGGATTTTACTGAATTGAAAGGGGACAGCTCTAGACTATAAGAGATTGTAACAGTTCATCAGTTTATTTTGCATTTATAAATCTGATTTGCAGGGTTTTTAATGAAAAACACTCCCATGATGTTAGGGTTTTTTTACACCCATAGTATTCGTAAAATTTTGAACATAAGCACCGAGGCTTATACTTTTCAAGGCCCTTCTTCAATGGGCTTCATTTCAGAGGGGCTTATTACGAGGGAAACCTGGCTGGGCTCGGCACAGGTAGCCCAAGCTGGAAATATTATCGGAAAAGTAATATTTTGAGGTAATTAAGTTTTAATAGGAACGTACTGAATAGGATGCTTTTGGAGAGATGTAATATATTATTATGATTTTTAGTTCAAAACCAGCCATGTAATATATTACTAATTTATTGTCATAGTTCTAAAGTAACTGAAATAATTAGCCTGTTCCAGACTCCAAGACAGTGGTGAAAAGTCGTTCAGTAAAAAGAAATGCGAAAAACGCGCGGGGGCTGGGGAGAGACAGTGTCTCCCGCTGCCACTGTCCCCTTTCCCAAGTCGCGCGCGTCTTATTTTCGCTTTGGTCGTTTTAATATGTCCCCACTATCCGAGAGCCTAGTACAGGCTGCTGAAATAATTTGCTGTAAGCTTAATTTCAATGAAAATGTTTCTGTCATATTTATTTATCTGTTCGGAAAAATTAAACTAATATAATATGGTCAAAAAATAATTCAAAATAGCGACTTGAGCTTGTGCATATAAAAAAGGTCAGTTAAATTTCTGTAGAAACTGTTCTATTTATAGTGAAACAAGTTTGCCGCAATAACAGGTCCAACTAGGCACAGATTTGGTGTGGGTGGTAACATTTGCAAGACTGAAATTTCCTTGAAAAACGGCCAACTGGCTCTGAAGGCTGTGCTGCAGACACATCTGTAAAAATCCGATATCAACTCTTCTTAGGCCTGGTTCAGACGCCGTACTTTTCATATGCCAAACCTAATTGAATAAGATCGACTTTGGAGCGACACTGGGGACATCTGATTCAGACGGTGCACCATGTGTCGAGCCTAAGATAAGTTCGACAAAAGTTCGACGGACTCTGTCGAACTTCTACGGCACCAAACGCTTTTGCCGCACCTAAATAAAACTGCCGTACCAAATTGATTGAGACGCCGCTCGTTTGCCGCACTTAATTCATCGGCACATGAGTGGAGCTGCGTCTGAACCAGGCCTTACACAAGGAGATTGCAGTGGGTCTAATCTGCAGGGCACAAGTCGCAGGGCACAGGTCAATGTGTGAATATATTCTGTCCCCTATTAAACCGTTAGATAGAATGGACCCAGTAAAGAAGAACTTGACGGGGCCTAGCAGGCGTGAAGATGACTGAAGGAGACATGGTCTCTCTGCAGTCATTTGGCATTTAAACAAAGATAAACAAGGGGCTCCGGGGTTGCTGATAGAGAACAGTTAACAAAGAAGCAACTGTTGCACAATTTTTCTTGATAAATCATTAGGTTATTCACCTGACCACTTTATAAGATAGCCCAATCTTCTCAACATTTTGGTTTAAGAGTTCTATAACACAGTAAAACATAACTGTTTAAAATTAGGCATATATAAGATGAAAAATGGTCTAGATTTATTAACATGCAGTAAAGTGTGGATAAATGAAATAATATTAATAAATAAACTAGAGCCTACAGTAGTAGATATTTTGCATCATACTGGGGCAAGTGGCTGTTGATGATAACTACTGGTTTTTGCAGTATGTCACCTTTGCTAGGGTAGATAACATAACAGAAAGGTAGTTTACTAGCCAACTCTAACCATCCCTGCTCTCCACCCCATTCTGGAGGCCCAGCTTGCATACAGCCTTAGTTTACTGAAGCATAGGGCATCTTAGTTTACTAGTTATTGACATATAAACTTGCTTCCACTGGTCTTTGATTCAGTTCTGGTAAAAGTCTTTTCTGGTTGGAAACCCTCCTATTATAACATGAAATAATTAATTTTTTGGGAACTAAACAATTGTACATCATCAAAAGCTGTGAACGGATATTAAATATGTACTGTAACTCTATCAACCACCCCTTTTAGAGTTGGGGGGGTGGGGGGGCGGTGGGACACAACCCCAAAAATATTCATATGCTTCTTGTCTTGCCAAATTTTGACCAAACTATGTGATTTTTCCTATCCTATTTCAGGCCTGATCCAAATTTTTATCCACCAATAGACCTATTCGGCTAACTCAATGTTGTACCCAATACAAATCTCCTGGGATTAAGATTCTTTCTGTATTGATTTGCATTATAATGTGGCGTTCACATTTAAATGATATGGAAACTCCTGGAACAAAACGTTTTATTCCCAAAGGGTTTGAATTGGGTACAACATTGAGTTAGCCGAATAGGCCTATTTCAAACCAGGCTTGTACTCCACTCATGATGAGATGAGAGGAGAGGGCTTTTCCCTGTGTGTTACTCAAAGTGTACTTCGTGAGGTGGTCTTCTAAAGCATGCAGTCTATATACAGTGTATATCACTCTAGATTTCACTATTCCAGATTAGAAAGTACAACTGTATAGCT